TGAAGCCCACATGACACAACCCAGAAGACAACCGTCTTCATTTGTACGTGAATTAACGGTTTGTCTAGTGTAACGAACGAATTCATGGCAGTCATAATTACTCATTTCATGGAAGAGCTTTACTTCCATGGACCATTTCAAAATGAATAAGTTTTGTCACTTTAATTTTTCTTATGTGTGCCATTCATAATTCCTTCTGCCGAGCGCAACTGCTAAAATGTATGTACACTTTTATACAGTTTTGTTTTACTTCAATGCCTCAGACAAATAACACGCATTGTTGACTTCCTTGTTGGCTTTTCTCCATTGAGCAGCGCTTTGCAGCGGCAACACTAGACTTTTAATTTGCAAGCACCCGGTTCGAATTCGGGCTGGGTTATTAGCCATCCCAATTGACGGAATTTGTGACTTTTCCGAACAAATGCAAGGATAATATTTTCACACCTTATTAGACATTAAATAATGAACATCGTTAAGTAGTAGACGAGTTTTTTCTTCGTTCCATAATCTACTACGAGGGTGAGTCAAATGAAAACCGGATTTTTTTTTAAAATTTAATTTATTGAGTGAAAGCGGTACACAACTATATAATTTTTCTACATAGTCTCCATTTCGTTCAATACAGGCCCTCCAGCGTTTACGAAGTGTATGGATTCCTCTAGAAAAAAATTCTTGTGGTTGTCTGCGCAACCACTCATGCTGTATCTCTTCGTCAGAACGGAACTTCTTTCCTCCCATCGCCTCTTTGAGTGGCCCAAACATGTGGTAATCACTTGGGGCTAGGTCTAGTGAGTATGGCGGATGTGGAAGACACTCAAAGTGCAAGTCTTGGATTGTTGCAACTGTTGCACGGGCAGTATGGGGCCGAGCATTGTCATGTCAAGGACACCTCTAGTCAAAAGTCCACGTCGCTTTGATCTGACTGCAGGTCGAAGATGATTCTTCAAGATTCTTCACTGATCAAAAAACGAATTACAGATTCCTTGCTATCAAATAAAATATTAACGCAAACATTGCCTTCAGACATTTTCGGCTGTTCTTATGTACGAATCAAAGTTTTGCAATAATGTTCCTCTCACCATCAAGTTTCATGAAGCAGTTTATACACAGTGTAACAGAAATAACCTCCAAATGTATCCATGCTCCATTTGTCGTATTATTATTATATTATTATTTAGTATTCTGTCTGACGACAGGTCCATATGAACAGGATCCTTCCATCCTTTTCTCAGACTGGGACCTGCTCGTATACGTTCTTGGCAGATGATCCAGAAGTGGTTTGCCATTGCCTTCTTCTGTGTGTGAATGGAGTAATTGTTGGGATGCCACGGAGGAAAACTCCGTGTTGCCTAGACCACGGCCTTGCCCAACACAAGTTATAAATCTGAGCACCACCGGGAATTGAACCCGGGACTTACAAGGCCAGCGTTCTAACCGCTAGACCACCGTGTACTTTTCCATTTGTCGTACCTACGTTAAATCTTCTGTTTTGTAGGTACACTAATACACTATGGCAATACGCAATCTTACACTAAACACGTATGATCGTTGTGTTATGGAGCCGTATAACACTGTAGGTGGTATAAATGGTTCCTCCGAAACGTTGATGACGACTACACGGCGTTATAACCCGGATGACCGCAGTCAAATTTTTCTTCAACTTTTAGTTACATTTACACTTCACGTAAATAATAAAACTAATTCATGAATTCAAAGTTTTATCTCTTCGATACCCGGACTCCACACGACATTACGCGAACTGAACCCTTTCACTTATAAAACCGAATTATAGAACAGTACTTACCAAGTTACCGCGTTCTGCTGTTCATTACACTACGACTGAAATGTGGCTTCTATATCACTGTACCTAATTCCATAACACGGCGGTGCAAAGTCGTCTGTCGACATGCAATTCAGCAAAAAGCAATGTGTTTATATTCACGACAGACCTCTATCACTCACTGGTGTTTTAACTCGCTCGCTTCTCTTGGTCTGATCTCTACACGACCTACTCCTTACCTGCTGTGTGCTTTTATCACTGGTTAGCTCCGCACTGATATAACACCACATTTCCAGCATCCTGGGCTATTTCCTCCATTCGAATTTCTATCGGGACAGGAAGAACAACGTCAATGCAAAGACCACACACTGAGCACGAAGGCCGGGGTTCGGGACCCAGGAATTCTACATGAAGTTGTAGCGGATGCAACAACATTAGAAATTCCCTAGGGTTTTTCCCACTTACCATCGGAGAAAATGAAGGGAAGAGACCAATTGGAAGACCTAGGCGTAAATAAGAAGATAGTATTAGCATAGATCTCAAAGAAATAGGCTGTGAGGGTGTGTGAGGGTTTCAAAGGACGACTGCTCAATGGAGTTACAGAATATATGTCAACGGGTTTCATTAAAAAATTGAACATGTCTCTGAATCTATTCAAAATAGTAATTAAGAATATGTCATAATTAGAATACTAAGTATATTCTTTTATATATCAAAGGCCGGAAAAGCTTCTTACGATGATGGAGAAGTGCGGTTGAGATGCAATTCTTCGACGTTCGGTGACCGGTGTAATATTTGCCAGCGGACCACCTAAATCTCACTGACCATTGGTTGGTTACAGACCACACTTTGAAAAATTTCTGGTACTATAGAAATAAGACATGCCACGGTAGCAGAAAGCTAATATCTTTTAACTTGTGATCTATTTTGTCAACAAAGTACCTTACAGACAAGAGATCCTCAACTTCTTTTCACCCTCAGCACACCCTAATTTGTTAAAAGACATATGACGGCACACCACAGTATTTCGCCTCGGAAAGGGGCCACGGAACAATACATGGCCATGAATACGTATCTACATACAAATCCTTGCCCTGTAAGAATGCAGGCATGTTTGGTAAGACCGTCGATGATGAACCTGTGTGTGTGTATTACGAATTCTAATTACGAGAGACGAGATGTTATCTTTCTGTAACTACAACGTGCGAATATACAATTTCATATAAAAAATTCGTAAGATCACAATGTAAAATATTAAGTTTCGCAAACCATAAAGGTTTAGCATAAAAATATTAAAATAATATAATAAATCCCCTGCAATACAACAGAGTATGTAAGTACAACACCTAAAGGGAATATGAGACCTGTTTAAACCGTAGAAATTCATCAACAGAATAAAAGTCATGTGCCTTTAGGTATATTTTAAAGCTACTTTAAATGCCCCATTTCCATCGGAAATAGTTTCAAGACTAGATGGGCAGACTGTTCAAGATTTTGATGCCAGCATAGGAAAACATGAAAATATTGGGAATTGGTCTATGAAGATTCTTCTTATTCCTTGATGATTGACTGAAGTTTTCACATCCCAAAATCCAAGCTTCGGTAGAAGTGAAAGCTTTTATATATCGAAAACAAAACAACAGCTGGGTGTCTCATCTCGAGGCCTGGCCTCATGAATTATCGAAAATATGTCCGTCAGTACCAGCCGCCCTAGGAACTTACATACTCAAGGAAGCTTGAGCAAGCTACGTGTTTGTCGTTATGAGAAACCACATTCCTGATAAAGACTTCCGACGGAATTCCTACCGACTAAACCACGTATGAATGATGGTTATGACTTAAGCCAATGTTTATACCAAATGGCTCGCTGACCGGAATCGGTTGTTTTATACACGACAAGAGAACAAAATATTTTCTCCAGTTTTAATGGTTAGGGCTGCAACCCTCAAGAACGCCCCAAAATAAACAGAGCAATAGCTGTAATACAATACTTATCTTACAACTTATCACTGTGAAAAACAACACTGAGGCGTATGAAGGGCGACTCGGGTGTGTGGTTTTCTTTTCAATTCAGCACAATATGGAGGCACAGTGGTCATATTCACACTACTGCCATGTTACCCTTTGGATACAGCCGAAGTACCCACAGAATTCGGACCCAGAACTGATCTGGAACTAATGAAGACAAGAAATATGCCTGCTCCTACTTGGAGATGTACTCAAAATATCCTGTTCACAGCCAGTCACTCAACTGACTAAGCTAATATCAGTTAATAATAATAATAAGGTCGAAGGGGAGAGACCAGACTAATGTGGGGCCAACTAGCCTGTTCAGAGGCTTCAGGTGGCAACCCCATTACTGGACTTGCCCTGCGAAAGGTTGGTAGCCTTCCCAGGATTCTCAACAAATTACTCAGGAAAAGCTCAAGGAAACCCAAAACTAATTAAAGGACAATGACCATAGCAAAAGAGAAAGGTACCTCACCCAAACTAGCTTTCAATATCAACCTCGAGGGACGACGGGCTGCTGGAAGACCCAGGAAAAGATGGAAGGATCAAGAACACCTCAAGCTTTAAAGTAACAGGTTTTAAGACCTAACCCTTGTTTATGCCCTTAAATAAGATGAAGAACAACAATAATAACAACACAACATATTAAAACAATGAGATCAGACACTTGTGGGAAATTATTTAATGAAACCAGTAATATAAGTTTCTGTTCAGATATTTAGAAATGTTCTATCGGGAGGATATTACCACAGAAATATATTCTATTTTGTCGGAATTTTTCCTACTGCTGGTACCTATTAATGGGGTATACAGATTTACCTAAAAAATTTAACATCACCAGTTTTCCATTAAATTGTGAAATTCTGTGCTCTATCTCAACAGAAACATGTATCAGTGAATACCAAATGGATAACTTATCGGCAAGGAAGTGGCCGCTCGCTGCAGGAAGTTGGAGGTAACCACACTTCCTGTGAGTAGGTCATATACAACCACCCCAATATCAGTGGTAGTGGTGGAATGTAGTAATGAGAAAAAGGCCAGTTACAAAGGAAAAGGGATAAGATGAAATCAAAATCAGGGTTCTCTAGAGCGATCTAGAGTGAGAAAGTTCCAGAAGTCACTAACAGCACGCATTGCTATGAATAAATATAGTAACAGAACTCGTGTAATTTAATAATCTACATTCAAATGTCCACAATTGTAAATTTTCAATTCTTAAAACTGTCAAATGAAACTTCACTAACCTCTACTGGCTAGCCACCAAAAGACCACAATCTGCATTGTCTTTTGAAAATTATACCTTCACCCTCTCAAAATTTTGGGTTTTGATAGTTGTCACAGCTAATCACCTTGAAACAATATTTTTCCACAACACAATGTTCTGAGATTACATCTAATTTCTGAACACAAAAATAAGTATTCACTTACTCTCCGACCACGCATGTAATACAAAATCTTGTTCATAATTTACTTTATGTTGTACAAATCACATTTTTACAGCACTTTCACCAAATATGCCATGCTGACAGTTTCTGCATTATTTTATTAGACTTAAATGAAAAGGGCATTTCTGTCCCTTACAATTTTGTTTGCTTTTAGAGTAACAGGAGAAAAAATTATAATAAACAATCCTGGAAAGTGTACTCCATCCTGGAATACACATTTTCCTCATGTGTTCCTTGCAATGTGCATTTAGAAGTATTAAATTCCCTTACGTATTTAAACACATTTGTTAAAAAAAAGTCTAAGTATGCCCTTGGCAGCACTAAACCCACCACGTCAACATCCCCGAATATAAACCATGCCTCATTTAAACTGCTGGTATACAAACTGAGTGGAATAAGAAAAGTAGGAAGACAAGAAATGATAGGAGGACCCAGTCTAAAATGTGGAACAGGATGAATGGCCTAGAATTGAGATACTATAGATAACAATTTTTCCTAAGCAAGTCAGAATATACAGTATGACAGACAGACAGACAGACAAATTGTTTGCTAATACTTATTCATATATTGATGCATTTAAAAAACAGACGTTATTACATCAGCATATAGGCTTAAAAATTACAAACCCCACTGAACCACACTTTCCTATATCTCACAAGTTTATGACTGGCATTTTAACTTGTTATAAAATAGTTTTCATAATTTGTAAAACATGTGTACAAAAATTTGTATAGAAAACTTGAAGGGAAGGAACCACTTGGGAGGAAATCGTTGAAAGGATAATGGACAAATTGGGTGAGTTTATTTGGATCAGGGACCTGTGAACATGGTAATAAGCGAGACTTGAGATTCTCATCCCCTGACGATCGAGGCAGCAAGCATCACTGAAATGTAGGTAAACATCTGTCACACTACACAGTACAACCACCCAGAAGACAGTAATCTGCATGGTAATAAGCCTTCAGGTTCCATAAAAAGTATGGAATTTCTTGACTAACTGAGAAACTGTTAGCTTCTCAAGAAATATGCTACATGGAATTAGTCTAAATAATTCAGATGAACCACAAAGGCCCAGTTCTTTTCATAAACTATGTGCTATACAGCAAATACAAAATTTATTCTGACTTTAAGTGACAAATTTCACATCATAATAAAGTTAACAATAACTTTTATCTTTAGTGTAATTAAGAATGAGTTGTTAATAACATTTTAAAACTTGTTTTCAGGGAAATTTGTCATAATAACATGGCTTGTGGTTGTGGATGGAGAAAATTACCTCCAGATATAAGATAGTAGCCACAAACATTTTGAACAGGCAGTCTTTGACAGTCAACAAGGGTTTTTTCTGCAACTCTCTGGGTGGGCAGAGTGCTATGTATCCCCACAGCACACAAAAGCTAGCATGTTATGAGATGTTACACAGGGGTTTAAATTAATTATTTGGCATGGTGCAAGTAATTGGTGACAGGACATTAGATTTGGAACTTGCAACACCTGAATTGAAGAGATAACTTATGAGACCTAAGCATAAAGAAGATAGTATTAAAGTGTATCTTAAAGAAACGAGCATAATGGTATGGACTGAATTCATACGGTTCAAGATGGGGGTTAGGCATAGGCTCTTGTGAATAAAGTTGTGAACCTTCAGGTTCCACAAATGGTGGTCAATTTCCTAACCAGATGTGAATCCAAATGGTCACTGCCCAGAGACACATTATAACTGAAAAGACATTTACATTAACTGGTCTACTGGCATAAGGATACAATGTTCTTAACAGAAGAAAAGTTTAACTCTTGCACTTTGACACTAACCACATCCAATCTGTAATGTTTCAATTT